ATTTATATGGTTAGCTTTGTTTTTTAGTCTTCTATGGAATCCTAGTAGCATTATGTTCTAGACTTTGTATTTTATGGTTTGATTTTTGAGGTTTAAAGTCTTGTTCGGTTTACTTTAAAACTAAAACTTTAAGTAAGAAAATGGAACTCATTTCTTGACGAAAAATTGTGTTTTTTATGTCAAAATGTTGGTAAAAATATTATCAAGGTTTTGGTACGAAAAGAATGAAGAAAAAAAGATCAAGAAAATGGGTCAATTTTGAGCTCAAAACAACAAAAAAGCGTGCAGCCATGGAGCACCCAGATCCGACCCGTCAAAAATTAATATGGATATCAGCAGACTCAAACCCGCAACCTCTACTTGGTAGAGACACATCCTAACCACTCCGGCATCAAGTTACTTTATGCTAATTAGGATTAGAATTTTTTTTTATATTTGGTAATTAACTGATTTCCTTAATAAATTTTATTATAACCCCTAGAGTTTAGAAAACTAGATTTAACATCTAAAGTCTTCTTAAATCCAGAAAGTTTTCTTGAAAATTTTAGATGTGCAAATTTCAACTTTATTTTATTTATTTCATTTTATAAAATTATCAAAACGCCCCTAAAATTAAAGAGTGTGTATTTCAAGCAATACGTAATCATTTTGCTTTATAAAAATGCCGTCAAAGTTGAGATTTGCTACTTTAACTATGTAATTATTTGGGGATAATTAGAATGAATTATTTAAATAATTAGATGATTTTTGTTAATGAGATTAAAGCATAGCACTTAAGTTATATACATACATACATATATATATATATATATATATATATATTCTTCTTTTTCTAGACATTTATTTTATGAGAGATGATTTTATGGAGTTATAAAATGATTAATTGACCATGTGAGGCGTTACTCGGGTTATAAATTTATTAGGACTCTTTAACTCGAAATATGTAATTATTAACTTATCTATTATGTAATAGATAACTTAATAATCACATTTATGATGTCGTTTAAAGATCTATAGCTAGATGAGACACCTTATGTCGAAACTGACGATTCCTATAATTTTAATTGATGTGAGGAGTGTTCTTAAGCATAGTTGACCAAGGTTGACCGTAGTCGACGTAGTTGACCGTAAGTTGACTTTTATGTTGGCTTTTGGGAAAAGTTATCATTAATGCACTATTCGATGTTATAAATTGTAGGTTACCAACCAAAGACTTTAGTTAAGCAACCTACGTTATTAGGTGAGTCTTCATGAGATTTCACTAGGATGCATACCTAAGTACAAATTTATTTTAGCATGATATGAATCGTTGATAATGTGTATGCATGCATGATATTTCAGTTACACACATGTTACAATATATTTTACATGTATGTTATTTTGTGAACAGCTGCATGTTATATGTTTAATCAGTTTTCGATTAATTATAGCATGTTATTTCATATTAAAGTTTTATGATTAAATGGTGGACATTTGACCAGTCTGTCACGATCAATGTAAAACACGACCTAGATAAATGGGTGATCATGACATGTTTGTGACTAAATGATCCATACCCGACTAAATATTATGTGAGATTTTTTTTCCAGTGTTTCAAATATATATATTTTAAAAGTTGTGACTTTTATTATAAAGCATGCCTATATGCCTGATATATATGTCAAGATATGATTTTATTCATGCAAACCATGAACTCACCGAGCTTGATAAGCTGACTATAGTATGCATCTCAGAGTCAAGTAGTTCGAGGTTGGATAAGGACAAAAGACATGCTTAGAGAGTTGCCTATTATCATTTTTACTCTTTTGTCTAGACAGTTATATGTCGATCATTTGTAACTTAACCTGATATGAGGCGGATTAGAACTTAAGTTAATTTTTGGTTGATTCAAAGACTTCCACTGTAAATGGTGTAAACAGTTTTAATTTAGTCGTCATTGTTGGAGTATTTACTTAGGAATTCGTTTTAAATTACATAACATTTCTAAAAAAAATGAGGGTGTTACAATCATAATCTTTCTCATCATCATCATCTTTCTCATCATCATCATCTTTCATATCATGCATATACTTGAATATCATGTACATCAAWACAATCAAGTTATCATCATATGCATATAAACGCATCATGCAGATATCATGGATAAAATACTTTGTAATAATCATGTATATATCCCATAAAAATCGCATAATGTACTCACCTTGAATCGTTAGCGTTTGATAGGTTCTTTTTCTCTAAAACCGCAACCTACATGATAATTCATATCATTCCTAAGCAACTTAGATAATAGTAACTAAATTGATCATTATTCTTCAACAATCTTAGCACGACTAATCTACCCAAGATACCATCATATCTCATATTTCACTCAAATATTTTCTTGAAATATTATTGATAATATGACGTTGTTATAATATTAATTGTCGCTCGTACATTTTATTAAAATGTGCAATGCATTTCACATTTTCTTGAACAATAAATATTTTACCTAAATAGTTTGGAACGTGTATAATGTTTTATGGCAAAAACGTCTCTTTTAAAATTTGCAAGTGAGTAATGGTGATAACATGTCAAACACATATAAATATCGGCCATGCCATAACTTTAAAGTTTAACATAATTAAATACTCAAAATAATGTTTAGAATACCAATTTTTCAAGTCTAGGGGCATTTCGGAAATCTTGAGAAGCCGAATACCAAAGGCATAACATTAACCAGTTCCCTAATTTATGACATTCTTGGTATCTTTCAGAAGTCGAATATTAAAACTGGGCATAAAAGTAGAATCTCAAAGCGTAGGGGCATAAAACTGGGCATAAAAGTACAATCCCAAAGCCGAATACTGGGTTTGATAAGGTACTTAAAATCAAAGTCATAAACATAAAAATCAAGAGATTTGGTTAAGATTCTCACTTAAAATCGGTGAAAACCCGATATTTTTTATTTTAACTCAACGATTTTACTAGCTATTTGAATGAAAACGATCATAAACTAGTGTTCTACATTTATACGCCAAGAGTTTTGTCGTATTAGTTGAAGAAATCAGCCAAATTGCGAGTTTTAGGCTGTGAGGTCGTTTTCTACAAACAGACATGTACTATTCGCAAAACATGCCCTTAATCTTCGGAAAAGATGACGTTTGGCCCTTTGGACTTTCTAAATTTTACAATCAAACCCCTCCTGACGTGATAATTTACATTTTTAGTCCAAAACAAGTTTAAACCCTTAATACTTTAATTAAATGACATATTTGGCTCCTCTCAACTCATTCATTTACATTTTGGTCCAATAAAATAAAAACCAATATTATTTTATTATATTCCCTTTTCCCTTTCTTTTCATTATTTCTTATTTTAAGATTTTTACAATTATTTCTTTCAATTAATCACATAAATATTTTAACACTTCAAATAAATTTAATAATTTTTTTAAAAACTCGTATAATATTATTTTTATATATTTAAAATTTTGAGTTTTGCAGAACTTGATCCATTTAATGCTTGAACAAATATATAAACAAAAAGATACATTAGCATCCTTTTAATATATTATTTTTATATGTGCACTTTATCGATGAAGTGCTTGATTTGGCCGCCTTGTTAATCGATGCATTAGAAGTTTTTACATTTATATAATGTATATTGTCCTACTAGTTCTTTCGTGCTTAAATATATTTACATAATGACAAAGAAGTTAAAAGAATTCAAAAATACCAAAACTTGGAGGAAAATGGTAACAAATTTACGAACTTGTCGCCAATATTCACATGTGTTGCCTTCTTAAACCCCACCATACACATTGCCGATGTAGAGCGCATGATAACCGATATTATCGATGTTTTAGGTTTAACCAAAGATGACTTCAAATTTTCCAAAAATACAAATCGCCAATTTTAAATCTACACTTCATAATTTATTTGATACTTAATAATATTAAATTTAATAAAGATAGAGCATGAATTGACATCTTAACCTCCACAAAGAGAAATAGCCATCGACTAGTAGTGGGAGTAGAAAGTGCAAAAGGAAAAATATTGCACTAAGGTGCCGTTTACCAAATGTTTATTCTGGGTAAGCGCTTATCAAGTAACATTACCTCACCGGAAGAATATAGTAAGGACCAATAATCTTACCTGGTAAGAGCGAGACAAGGACCAAGTGTCTTATCCAGTAAGTGAGGATGACGACTCTTACCACGGTAAACGCTTACCGTGTAAATTGTTGCATATGATGTTAATAGTGTTAAATTTTACCGGTAAACACTTACCGGATAAGTGCTTGGTAAACGGCCCCTAACACTTTATGCAATATAGTCTTTCAAGCTACAAAATTGCCAAAGATATAGTACCAACTACCATGAATTGCATATTTATACAAATTCTAACTTTGTTGGTTTAGTGGTTGTTGACGATTTTGATCAATTTGATATCTTGACATGGTCAAAAGAAAAAAAAAAGGCAACTTTCCGATTCTCACTGCTTGACAAGATATCCAAGCTACCACAATAGTTTGCTAGAAAGGAAGACCCCTTTTCTGATTCTCAATTGTAGTGTGTATTCATAACAAAGAACACAACTTCTACAAGAATTGCTCGAGGTTTGTGATTTTCATACATTTTGTACGAGTTTTTAAAGTTTAAATTTATAATCAAATAAATAACTTATTTGATTGAAGTATATCTTATTTAATTAATTTATTATTTATATACAATAATTAGAAAAGAAAAACAAAATTCAGTCTCAATAACCGGTTAGTCCATGGTTAAGTTAACCGATTAGCTAACAAGTTACATTATATGAATCGGGGCCACATTTTCCCATCCATAACCGGAAACCAAAGACCGACTTTACCGGTTACCGACGTCGATAACCATAAGCGAACATGCCGTAACCGGTTACGGTTCCGACCGGTTACCCGGTTTCCAACATTTGAAAGAAGGGAATCTAAATTTCCCCATAATATAAAAACCACCATATATTCAACCCCCAATCCCCCTTCTCTTTCCCCCCTTCAACACCATTATAGGGTTTAGGGTTCTGTTCTGTCCATCAAGATTTCTTTACATTTCTTTGAAATTAATACTAATATTCAGGCGTGAAGATGCAGCAACAACATCAACAGACACCGCAACCCCCCACCTTAAACTCAGGCACTTCCTTTTCTCCAAATGCAATCACCACCGAACAGATTCAAAAGGTTTGATTTTTAAATCTTTTATTTCAGTTTTTGCGATTTAATGTGTTCACTATAACTCAGACTGTTGACCGATTTATGGTATGTATTTTTGATTGCTTCCTCCACCCAAATTAATCGAAGGTTATGTCTCTTAGCTTTTATCCATTCGAGGCTCTGTCACCTTCAGGTCGTGACCTCAAATCCCTTTGGGAAACGTGTATTTCAAAGAAATAGAGCAAAAAAATACATACACTTCTTGTTTTCTAGTAGAAACCCAACTATCGTTGTGGGATTTTTTGTCAGCAAGTAGAGGGTCGTTATTTCGTAATTTCCAGCCTATATTTCCCATTGAAATCTATTCAAATGTAATGACAACGAACACATACCTTGGGGAATATCAATTTTGATTTGGTCGATTACAGGATTTATCAACTTTTACACCTCAAATACCTTTTCAATGGGATGAAGAAAGCTGAGATTTCCTTAGTTTTACGTTCCTGCAAAAAAGACTCAATATAATTGGCATGGGAGTAGAGATGTCCTATATATATATATATATATATATATATATGTGCATACGAGTATACACACATAGGGCACAGCTTATTCCAGAAAGGAGGGGGTTTATGGTTAATTTGGGACTCATTTTTGAAAGAAAATACAATATTATTATATTTAGTCTCCATACATCAATTCAAAAAAGGGTGTGAAAGATGATAAAGATTATCATATTTTAACTAGGACATGAGTAGAGATTTCCCATACATTACATGCATACATATGTGTGTGTGTACATTTAATCATTTAAGTGCACTTATTTCAAAAAAGAGGGGCCTTTTATGGTAAATTTGGGTCTCATTTATGAAAGAATACACCATGAGGAGCCATGCTCGAACTCTGGATATGAAAATGTCGTTTTTCCACTCTATGATGGTGATATGAATTATAAAGATTTGAGAAAAAATTGATAATTGCATTGAACCATGTACATTCTCCGTCCAAACATAAATGCCATGATTTCCTTTTTCAGTTTTCACAAAATAAATGCAACATTTTTGGTAAGGATTATAATCCAAACTTAATTTTAGCCCATATTACTATATTAGTCATTACTAATTATTAGTAATGCTTGTTTTGGTCCACAATTGCCCAATTGATTATGTATTCTGTATTCAGAAAATGCTTGGATTAAGCAAAACATTGGAAGCGTGACTCTTCTATTGAAACAATATGTAAAAAGTAATGTAACCAAATCCATATCAATTGTGAACCTTGTTATAATGTGTTACTTCATAAAAAGGGGTAAAAATTAAGCTCTGTTTGACTTCAAAAATGGAATGTCAATGTGGTGTGGCAGTACAGAACTATGTTGGAACAGTAAAATTTACTTGGCAACTTGTATGCGTAAGCTTTTAGTAGGCCACATGGGATTGATTCTAAGTGTTGCCACAATTAAAACAAAGAAGAAACCTTTGCTCAACTCAAGAAATACTTTATCCCCAACTAGGGGTTGGGCAAAAAATGATAGATCAAAAAGATCAGATTTTGGTGGGAATTTGATTATTACTTTATGTTTATATCATGGTCATGTCAAACTTTTGTATAATGGTGGTTGTCTTTTTGCAGTGTCTCGACGACAACAAAAATTTGATCCTGGCGATATTGGAAAATCAAAATCTTGGCAAATTCCAGGAGTGTGCTCAGTAAGTTATCACTGACTCAGCATGGTGTAACGTTTGTGTGTGTGCGCATTATTATTACCATGTTATTTTGATGGTAGTATGGTCGATTGGTCTTATGACAAGCGACATATGTGGTGAAAAGGATTCCTGTTTATTTTGTGGGCATTGAAACTTCTCATTTCAGGGTACTACTACAGTTTAAAACTCATTGACCTACATAGGTTTAGTTAAGGTCAAAGGAACGTGTGACAAGATCAAAGACGATAACCAAGGATGTATAGATGCTCAAACTGTTCTTGTGTTTATTGATATGCCTTCTCTTTAGCTATGGGGCATTAATAAATTATGTGGCTTCTTTGTTCAGTAACCACACACAATGATTTACTGTGTCTTGTAAACTCATAGCTAAATCTTAAGATAGACCTATTGAAGTGGTTTCCCTCACTGTTTGGTAAATGAGCAAGTCACCATCTATAGAGATCAATTTTGCAACCAATGCCCCATTAAACTTAGTTTCATTGATGTAACAGGAAACTGCAAATATGCTTGTGTGTTATCTGCCTAAGTTTTGTTCAATATATAGCAAGAATATATGGAAATGCAGACAATTAGATGTATTATTTGCTTATAGTTGAAAAAATCAGAGAATATAGGAGCTGCGGTTGCACTCATATTTGTAAGAGGTAGTATGAGAATTGTTCTTTGAGAAACAGGGTAGTAAAAAGATAAGAGAGTTGTTTTCTCTTGGGATTCCTGTTGATTTATGGGTCCTTCCTATGAGACCGGCAGACCGCTTACAATATTAATGGTAATGGTCTGCCACAGAAGGCTTCTTTTCGTATGGATTCTGGGAATATTTAGTTTCATCTCATTTTCCAGAAAAAGACACTTAGAACTATTGGAGGGGTTGGTCAAAATTAATAAATCACTTTAGCTAGAATGGATTTCATTTTATCTCTATCTATCCTACTAACATATCAATAAAAATAATAATGGACGGGTCCTTAGATTTATTTGTGACCTTTGAGGAGCCGTATGAGATGAAAATCTCATGTACGGTTCTGTAATAGGGATGGGAACAGTGATGTGTATTCTGGGAATATTTAGTTTCATCTCATTTTTCAGAAAAAGACACACAGAACTATTGGAGGGGTTGGTCAAAATGAATAACTCACTTTAGCTACTTGTTATGATGTTTGTAGTGGTGATGTGAATACTTTTAAAGTGATCCCAGTTTTTTGGGTGTCCGTGGGTCTCTTGCTCTTTGAATGATTACCATTCATATTCATACAACTTGGTATGTTTGCATTCTTTGATATCTCAGTTAGCAATCTGGGAAAGAGTCTCAAGTTTTCAGAGTTTCTCAAACTCTAACATGTTATGCCTTTTGGATTCATTTCTTGATTCTAGAATATTAGTGAAAGAACATATGTATGCAACATAATGATTATTGGCAAAAATGATAAAGATTATTAAGCTCAAGAGGACAGGTCTTTCTTGTTGCTTAAGAGCAGTAGATGTCATATGATATCCAACATGCTTTGTGCTGGAAGAGTTTATCCTAAGACTGAACCCTGATAAAGAAACCGTTAGTTTTCTCGGAAAAAATGGTGGAGCTTCTTTATTCGAGTTGAGGAAAGATGTAGTCTTTTAGTCTTTTCTATGTCAAAGATAACAACAATTTGAGTCTATGTGAAATCACTTAATATGTGTATCCAAAATAAATATACGATCTATTATGACGTGCCTTGCCATGTATGTTTGTGTTGAATTCCACTGTTGAGAATTGTTTTATACTGGGCAGTTAATCACAGTGCTATTGCCTTGAGCAGTGGTTGGCTGCTACAGAATTGCAAATTAACAGGCAGCTATTTTGATATCAAAAAATGCAGTGTGAAATCCACTATTTTGGTTTTGGGGCTTTTTAGTTTTATTAGTTGGGAGGGCATTGAATTTGTGCCCAAAGTGTGTACTCTGCTCCTCGCTTCACCGTCATTCTCTTCTTCTTGGCCACTAAAGAATGTGAAGGCTAGGCCAACTTACGGCTTACTGTTATGCCATGGTTGAAGTTCTAGGCTCCATAAACGCAACTATGTATTAGGTATTAGGTAGGGGAGGACACCATTCAGCACCCTGAAGAGTGTTCTAATTTCTTCCTCACTCGTAACTTCAATTTGCTTGTTAATAAAAATAAAATTTTCAAATATTAATTACTCCCTCCGTCCTAAAATAAGTCTCCCCGATAGAAATGACACACAGTTTAAGACATGCATAATTATTACACTTTAGTTATTTATTTTTGAAATTGGACACTTATTTTGGGAGTACATATATTGGGATTACATTAACAACATTGTGATTTTAATATTATTATTAGATATGTATTACATATATTAAGTATTGCATATTTTTGTTTATTGCATAAATTGTTATTTGTTTTCCGCTATAACACCGTTTTACCACTGTGATAACCGTTATATCAAATCACATCGATTCCAGTTATGCACAGCAATGAGTCACAGTAGGAAGCAAGTAATTTTTAGTCTTTTAACTTTATTCTTCAGTTTCTACTCCTTTTAGGGTTGTGGAAATTGGTGGAGTAAAATGTTGTAGCAAAATCCTCTTTATATTAAGGGCCCGGCCTGCTTCCCGCCCGAAAGAACCACTCACTATCTAGCGGGACTAGTGGGGGGCCTATCTGGAGACATACTGAATTTCCTAACTTCAGCGAGAAGCTTATACCATTATTGATGGAAAAGATGAGGAATTTTATGGATGTAGATACACTGAGCCATTCACCAATCACAATTTCTGTATTCAACTATATATTCTCCCTGTTAACAGCTATTTTTAATGTTCAACTGTTAACTAAAATGCAAGAAACTGATGCAAAAGGTCCTGCCCAGTTCCTTCTAAACATATATCAGCAACTTCAGGATGAAATGGTACATATAGAAAATGGAATAATGTCATAAAATGTTTTGCGGAGACCCTTTTTGACAATTGGAATGATTTAGGTACCAAGCCATTCTACAAAAGAACCTAATGTATCTGGCTGCAATTGCTGATGCTCAACCACCAACAACGCAGTCGCAGCCATCAATTCCTTCTCAAGTGAGTTCTAACTTGCCATTTCAATCCAACTGTTTGTGTTCTTGCTTTGCTTACTTTTCTAGGTGATATGCAGATGCCACCAAATTCTATGCCTCAACAGGCAAACAGTTTCATGCAGCAACACCAGCAGCCTGCAACTCCTCAACAAGGTGGTGGTTCCGTTGTTCCAAAACTGCCATTTCAGCTTAATGCCCTGCGAACTCAAGATCAGCAGCAGCAGTTGCTCCAATTCCAGCAGCAACAGCTTCAGGCACAGATGGGGCTCAGGCCGAATGGGATGCTTGGCATGCATCAAGCAATGCAATCTGCAATGGCGGGAAATCCTGGTGCTTTGATGGATGGGCGAGGAGGAATGAAGCAAGATGGATCGGAGGCAGCTTCTGGTGGTGATGGTCAGGGGAAGTCGCGTGGTGGTAGGGATTCGTGAGATCGGGGTTCTTGATCAGTTGTGATGGTACTCTTTGGTTTGGTGGATGACGTAAAAAGAAAAATGACATCTTTTTGTGTTTCTTGGTCAGTTGTATCTTGGCTGCTTGCAGCTTGTTGCATGTATCTTTCCATCAATCAGAAGAAGTGACCTTATAAATAACCACCTTTGTAAACAGGTATTATCAGCTTCTCCTCTATGAGACCATGTTCCATTTAGGTTACATACAAGTTTTAAAGGAACTGTTCAAAGTGTCATAGTGATTCTCACATGATAACAGCTCTATGCTTGGTGTAGGATTCTTCATAGCACATTTTCACCATCTGAATAACAAGGATTTGTTAGATTTTGATTCAAGATTCAGGTAGATTATTATGGCAGAAAACAACATAGCCTGAAAAATCCTGATTAGTTAACAAAAACAACACAGATGGGATGGGAGGAGATCTTCCATCAAAGGAAATAGTTTGAATTAGCAGCTCAAATTCAGAGTTTGGGGGGGGGGGGGATGTCCTCTAGCGTGACACCGTTGGCGTTTTCTTAGAAATGGTTTGGATCCGGTTTGGTTGGTATGTTTAAATGGTTTGTTATGTTTGAAGTGGTTGTTGGGTGTGTAGGTTGGTTGATGGAAGGAAGGTCAAGTGGTTGTTGCATGTTGATTATTTAATTAAAGAGCTGGACAGGAATAAGGTAATTGCTATTACTGTGAAATACATGTGGTTGATAAACATTTAGGTTAAAGTATGAACCATAAAATTTCAGTTACCATGTTATCTATTTTGCGTACTCATTGTATACATGATACGTTTAGTTCCAGTAACGTATCGTGTGTGTATGTGTTGGGCATTTTTCAGTTTGATGTAATTGGTTATACTTGTGACAACCACTTGACCTTCCTTCCATCAACCAACCTACACACCCAACAATTAGGTGCCTGAGCTTAAACTGTTTTAATTGCTTTGTAATTGTTTAGTTGTTATTTCCTTTTATAGAAAAGTAGTTTACTTTCCTTTTATAGTGGCTGCTATAAATAGCAATTTGGTAGTTTGTTAGTTTTCGTATGGAAAGATTGAGTTGACAGAATACGCACACACAAGTTGATAGTGAGATTGAGAGACCTGTTCGGACGGCAGATTCATTTCTTCGTCTTGCTGTTCTTGATTATGTGATTGATTTGCTTTTTGTGACTTGAATTTTGGATCACAATTGGTATAAGAGCTTAATCAGATCAACGAGATTGTATTTGGATTAGATTCTTGACTGGAATTTTTTTATTTTATGTATTCAGAAGTTTTGGTTATCGTTCTTACAATTTCTGCTTAATTCTAATTGTTTGATCCATATTTGTTAAGTTGGTTTGCATTGAATTTGTTTCTGCATGTTTTGCGAAACTTTTTGTGCAATAAAATTGCATAAATTTGCAATTTTTGGGTCAATTTTAGTGAATTATTAAATTTCTGGTGTTAAGTGTTCTTCTCATCGGTGGTTGAGTATTCATTGTCTGATAAGGGTGATTTCATCTCCTGTTGAACTTTGTGTTGAAGTGTTCTTCATCACTTAAGTCCATATTTTGACCAAGTGTTTGTTTCCATCGCTCATGACACTTGTTGATTTTTTGAATAGTAACTTCATGGCCCAATATTTGAGTGATTTGACTTTGTATTGGTTGATTCATCTACTGTTTTGTTGATCGCTATATTGATATCATCACTCGATACTTGTGCATTTGACTTGTATGAATTGTTAATCATCTAGTGTTTTGTCCGATAAGCACTCTTATCGATCAAAGAGGTGTCTGGAGACCCTCTTCATCGCTTGATTCTTGTGCAATATTGTTTTTCATCGCACAATAGACTTGTCCAGATACATTGTTCATCGATCATAATTGTGTCCAGATATCTGTCTTATCGTTCATTGATCAAGCATTCCTCATCGGTCATAACATTGTCTGATATTCTTCTTCATCAGTCACATTAGTTGTCCGATAACCATTCTTATCGTTCATAATTTGATCTTTCAAGTGTTGTCCAATAATCTCTCTTATCGATCAAGTCTTGTCTGATAACAAGTCTTGTCCGGTAAAGTGTTGTCCAATAAAGTCTATTTGATGACCTTTTATTTTGTGTCCGATAAGATCTTTCTTGTTGTCCAATACCTTTGAGCTTTGTTCGATAAGAAGTCATTGTTGATTTTTTTTTCTAAGTGTCAAGAAATTCCTTTTGTTGTGTTGTGTTTAAATCCAGTCCTTGTTAATTTCTGAAAAAGATCATTTTTCAAGTCTTATTTGTTAAAATGTCAAAAGATATGCTGAGCATAGGTTTAGATTCCAAGCCCTCGGTTCTTGCTGTTGGTGAGTATATGCAATGGAAAATTCGGATGATTCATTTTCTAGACAACAAAGATGATAAATTAATGCAATCCATCAAGGATGGAACTTACATTAGCTACATGGATCTACCATAACAGACATCTACTGATGATATTGTTGTGCCTGCTTCTAAAAGAAAGAAACATCCTTAATATTACACTGAAACTGAGAAGCAAAGGGTCCTTATTGATATGAAAGCATTCATATACATGTTGATGGCAATTCCAAATGAACTTTCCAACAGAATTGACAGTAGAGGATCGACAAAAGAACTCTGGGTGAGCTTGGGAACCAGATGCTTGGAAGTGAGAAGTCTATCCAGACAAGGATGAACCATTGTGTCAGTGCATATGAAGGGTTCAAGGCTCGAGAGAACAATCAATCACTGAATCCTACAATAGGTTCAGTGTGATTCTGAATGACTTAACGATGAATCGTATTCAGAAATCCATGTCTGAGATAAACCACAAGTTTTTGAAGAATTTAAAGCCAAAATGGAACACTCTCGCAGTAAACTTGCAGATGAATAAAAATATGTCAGAGGAGGACATACATGATTTGTATAACATTTTGTACGAACAAGAGGAAACTGTGAGAGAGTTGATGAGTGAAAAGAAGAGAGTTTCTGAATTCTTGGCTTTGCTATCTGGGGAAGCAAGGGAAGAGTAAAAATGAAACAAAGAGCTCAAAATCTTTAAAGACAGAGTTATCAGAACAGACTGAAAATGACTTAACTAAAGATTTCTACGCTGACTCTGATGACGACATTCGTGAGTTCTGAAAGAAACTTGCTTTGCTGACCAAGAAGTTTCAGAAGAGGTTTGGTAAGAAGAAATTTGTGAAGTTTGACAAGAGCAAAAGGAAGGAGATCAAGCAAGAGAAGTTCAGTAAAGCTAGAGACTAGAAGGAAGCTAAAGCTGAAAGCAGATGTTTTATTTGTGAAAAGCCTGGTCACTATATCAAGAATTGCCTTTTTAAGAAGTTCAAAGACTCAAATTACTATCCCAAGAAGGCTCATCTGGCAAAAGCCCTTGAGGACAGCAAGGCCTTGGTAGCGGAAGAAGAAAGCTGGCTCATAGATTCATCAGATGATGAAGCTGCTCATTTTACTGAAGTCAACATGTGCTTAATGGCAAGGACTGAAGCAGAAGGCTCATCATCTGAAAATGAATATGAGGTACAAAATTCTTCAAATGCTGAACTGATGAAAGAAATTGAGAACATGAATGCTGAATTTAAAATCTTGAAAGACATATTAAAAGGTGAAAGAGCTTTAATGCTAAAATTCAGATAAGAAAGTTGTGGTTATAAGTGTCAGAGTGAGGGTTTGAGGGAAGAGCAAGAAATACTTAGATCTAAAAAACAAAAATTGAAAATGACTTTCAGCTACTTAAAAAGAAGTTGGGTGAAGTAGAGTGTGAAAAGATAATGTTCAATTAAAGTTTGACGTGATTTTTGCTGAAAGGTTAAATCTTTATGATAAAATATAACAGTTAGAAGATATTAACTATAAAAGAGGTCAATCTGAACAAACTCTAAAGATTTTGACTAATAAACCCAAAGATACTAGATTTTACAATCTGCAAATGGGTACAACACGTTAAAAAAGGCCCCTAAATCTTTATATGATCTTGATCAGTGGGGGTCTGCAAAATTTGCAATTCCTTCTGTTAAGGAAATCTTCGTCAAATCTAAAACTGAATCATCTGTTTTTAATAAATGTGATAGTTATGAAATTGATGAAGAGAATTTTGATAAATCAAATTTTAAATCAGTTGGGCTGAAATACGACGATCTGAACTCAAGCTACGAGACTAGAGAAATTATTTTTTTACATACTGAGCTTGATTCATTGTATCCCACTGAAAGTATTCAAAACAAAACTTCATCTATTTTTGAATCATCTTCTAAGAATTCTGATTTTTTTTTTCCTGAATTTGTTGATAACATGACTCCAGAAATTTTTGAAAATCTTTTAAATGAGTCAGATTCAGAAACAGAGGTGGTATATGATTCAGACAAGACTGAGGAGATTACTGAGCAGGATTGGAAAGTGCATTCAAACCCTGAGTTTGATTCAAATTTGAAAATATCAGTTTTGAAAAAACAGATATCTGATCTTGAAGAAGAACTAAGAGCTGAAAAAGATTTGCATCTTAATTCTCAAAATGCTTTTATGATAAAATCAAATGAGTTTGAAAGCCAAATTTCAGAGTTGACCATGCTTATTGTTTGCAAAGATAACATGCATGCGTCCAACTTGAAAAAGATTTATGATTTGGAAAATGAATTATGTTCGTGTTTTGGTGATCGTACTTAGCTTATGAGTAAAATCATTAAGCTTGAGAAGGATCTCAAACGTCTTCAAGATCAGTTGCTAAGACTTTAGAAGATGTTCAAATTGCTTCTAACTCTAAAACAACTGTTATTGAAGATATAAATTTTTGTAAGAGTACCTTTGAAAAGGGAGAGCCTTCAAATACTAAAAATGAAAATGTTTCTAAGGTTTTTCCCAAATCCATCAAATATGTGTTGAATGTTAAATCTGATTCTTTATCTGCTAAGCGTTCTACCAACTCAAAATCTTTTTCTGTGGAAGAATTGTTAAAGACTGCAAGAAGAAGTCTTCACAGAAGAATGCCAAAAATGTTTTCAATAATTCTTCTTCTGTAAAGAATGTTCATGTTAATAAAGATAGTTGCAATTGTATCTTTCTGAAATCTAAGTGTAATTTGGACTTTGATCTGATAAATACTAAAATAATTTCACATCCAAATCTTTTATATGTTGCCAAAAATCACATACATTGCAATTATTTAAAAAAATAATAATCTGGGAAGAAGCACTTTTTTTTAAAGTATAATATCAAACTAAAAGCAAAAACACATT